GCCTATTCCCCTTTCCCGATGCCGAGACAGGCTGCAGGTGTGTTTATACACAAACTGGAAAAAAAAAAAAAAATCTAGGTCACAGACTGCAAAAAACAAGATGCAAACAGGCTCAATTCAGTTGTTTCAGTTCCAGTTTACATGCAGAAAACCCTGATCTGCCCTGAGGAGTGAGGGCTGTGCCTGACAAATAGATCCTGAAGCTATACCCCTGGGGCCAAAGATACAATCAAGTAACCACAAAAAGTTTCTGTCCAGCTTGTTCTCCCATTCAGCAGTGAGTGCTCCTCTCTTGAGAGGCTCTTTCATCAAGCCACTGCTCTGCTCATTGCTTCAAGTTTGGATCTGAACTGCTCCTTGCACATCTCCTACTGTGTGTCCTCCCTTGCATTTCCTTTCTCTGAGATGCTCTGTTACTTCTGTTGTCAAATATGATACTGAAGAGGGATCTTATGAATGGAAACACAACAAGATTTGACCTCCTCACCCCTCAAGTTAAAGAGAGACATTGTAATTTATCAACTCAACACAGCAAAAGAAAAGCCCTTGGTTTGTAAACAGAGGACAATTCTCTCCAATCTTTTTTTTTTTTTTTTTTTTTTTAAGTGAAGGCCAAGTTCCAAGCCATCACTGCTGTTTCTCTACCTTCCTTATAAAGGCAAAGGGGGGAACAACAACAACAAAAAACAACAACAACAACAAAAACACGAATCACCAAACCAAACAACAAGAACAACAAAAAAACCAACTCCCTGCTCCATGCCTAACAAGGCAGGGGTGTCTTGGCTGCCAACTTTCCACAGAGATGTGGGCTGCTCCTAAACGATAGTTTTATACCACTGGCTACTGAGGGGGATCTTTGCACTCAAGGGTGCAAAAATTAAACAAGAAAAATGACTTATGTCAGGAGGTTTATATTTACTAAGCAGTCTACTAAGCAGAGTAAGGAGTCTACAGCTCTAAATGTTTTATCAGTGATCCAGAACTTGAAAGACATGGAAATCCTTGAGAGAAAGACAGGCACCTCTCAGTGTTTTTTGTTTGTTTGTTTTGGCTTGTTTTTGCTTGCAGAGGTTACTTTGAGTAGAGATATGAGCAATTAATGTCCTAATTAATGCAAGATGATCAACCTTTCTGGTTTCTGCTTCTTTTTCTTTCTACAACCAACTACACAGGGAAGAGTTTGAAAGATGTAAGATGACTTTCAAGTGCTCAGTCCCAGAGCTGGAGCCAGCATTTCAGGAACATTCAGTCCTTAGGGGTTCCATGAGTTCTGCTGCCAACTAGCAAAAGCCAAGCACCTTTGAAGATGAAACCATGCACCCTGATGCTCAGGTAGGATCAGAAAACTGTGGTAAGGTCCAGACATAGACAGCAACGTTGAGAAAACACTTACCAAATCAAGAACTGTTAGGAGGTCAGGTCTTCCATGAATAGTGTCTCAATCCTACAGAAGCCAGACTGGCCAGACCTTGGCTGAGAAGGTGTGGTGGCTGGGCAGTGTCTACATGCTTATGCCTTGGTCCCATGCAGATGACAGACACAACAAGTCCAAACTTCCAGTGTTCCAGCTCAAACCTGGAGAGAAAAAGCCTGGGCACCACCCAAGCATGCCAAAGCACAACTCCAAGGTCATGGCACAGCACAGGCCAAGGCCAGCTCATTTTCTGAGCCAGTACCAAACTGATGCTCACAACACTACAGCTGAAGACAAAAGCAAAGCTCCAGAGCCTTTACACTGGAGCAGTAACACCTCCAACCCAGCAAACACATAGCATATGCATAACTTTAAAGGAGCAGTTGGGAGGTCTGAGGGACTCATTCCGGGGCTGAGAGTCAGTATGTATCAGGTTACTTTTAGGCACAAAAAACTTCTAGAATCCCTGATGGAACTAGGAAAGAAACCTGCATCCTTGGAGGGTATTGCAACAGGAGAGGCACTTCCACAGAAGGAATGTGGGGTGGGAGAAGAAAGACTGATACAAACCACCCTAACATCAGCATGGAACAGAAAAATAAAAACCATGACCCCACCATGGAGACATACTCATCCTTCCATATTCCCAAAAGTGCCTAGATCTTGGAACAAGAGAGAGGGATTGAGGAGGCAGGAAAATATTGCATGGGTTGTGCACACAACATGATGTACCACATAGAAATGATACTTTTACATCCTAGCTACGTGGGCAGCCAGCCCAAATTGTGCAATAACAGACAGACTTGGCAGGTAAAATAAGAGAGTCGTAAAACAAAAGATAAAGAGGAAATTAGAATAAGTACAGCCAAAGAGAAAGAGCTCCATGACAGGGAGTGCTAACTCCCTCTTCCACACTGGGAGAAGAGGGAAGTTGCTAGCTTGGGTTTGTCTGGACCCTGCAGTTACTGGGAGTCGTGCAACCCCAGGGAGGTAATTAATGCTAAACTGCTTCAGACTTTCATCTGCACTTATGAAACCAGACCAACAAGGCCTTCTCAGATCATACAGGTACAAAAAGGGACCTAGCTAATAGCAACATACTGCTTGCAAGTCCTCATCACCAGGTAGCACAACCAGCTGTCAGAGCACATCGCAAGTCGAAGAAAGAGCAAGCCTTGTGCAAAAATGTAAATTGAGAGCACTAAACTTGTGACTCTGCCAAGTAAATCATCTCTCTGTGACTCTGCTGCAACAAAAAGCATTGCTTTCAAAGGATTAGACCACTCTATATGGTTTTGCATCCTCATTCTCCTATGAGTTTTGTAAGTCATCCCTGTGTATTTGTTGTTCACTTGAAAGGCAGACACAGAAGTGGTCTGATACTGGGGGTTCCCAAATAGTGGCATAAAAACAAAGGAAATCAATTTCAAAGAGCCTATTTCAAAGTCTTTGTTTGATTTATATTAAACACATAATTAACTCAACTGCTTGAACAAACTGAGAAGAAAGCTCTTAAATCAAGGATTTACAGAATTGCCAACCATAGCAGTTCGCAAGTCAGGATGTGAAACAACCATGAAATTGGCTTAGAAACATTAAAAAAAAAAAAAAAAAAAAAAAAAACAGCCTGTGGTTCTTTTTCCTCAAGCTTGCCTGCACGGGAAAGTTAGTAGTGGGCAGAAGGAAGGGAGTGAATTTACGGTGCATTAGTTGCTCCAGACCTGCTCCCACACAGGAGAGCATGCTCCTTCTCCCTGCGGGTCAGCTGCTTTGCCCAAACAGCAGGCATGGGAGGAGCGGCATCTCACATGCACACCCCCACTTAGTGGGATAATCACAGGCTGTGGTTTTCACAATAGCTATGTTTCCTCTGCAGTACTGGTTACCCTGACCCCCTCAGCTGGGCTCTGACGTCTCACAAGGCTTTCAGTAAACATCACAAGGTTGGGCAACTCTCTGTGTGCTGCAGGTCTGTGTCCCCACCCCACGTGGCTTCCCGGCTGATATTTATCCTGCCTGGAAAACGCCACGCCAACAGACGCTCTTTGAAAAAGGCTGTGTGAAGGCCCGAAGTAAATGTCAACAGTTGCGTAGGCTTAACCAGGCCGTGATTTGCAACCTACGTTTTCCAGCCTCCCTGCCACCGCCTTGTAAGGCAGTGGAGAAAGCACACAGCCCCCCCTTTCTAACATGCTGAACCACAGGGGCACTGCCAGCCAAAGAAAAACACAGGGGATGGTGTTAATAAAGCCTCAGTCTGAATAGGAGGTGGAGTAAATGGGAATGCCCGGCCTGCTCCTGGGACAGCAGCAGCAGCTGAGAGTGGACAGTGAGAGCACAGGGACTTGGAGCAGAAATAAGCAAGGCTGAAGACTTGCAGAGGGGCTGCCCAGCTCCAAATGATGGAGGTGAAAGTGATTCACCCACAACTAAGGACTGTAAAACTGATGCACCCACCGCTCCCTGCACTGTTGGGCCCAGGGAAGACTGGCCACGGTGGCAGCACCCCTGATGCTTGTCCCTGCCCTTGTTGGGCTGCACTTCCCCTTCTGCTCCTTCCATTCCAGTGTGGGGAGACTGCAGCAGTGACAGGACAGGCTTCAGGATGCTGGGAGAAGGGTCAGGCATCAGTCAGTGCTCCCCAGCTGCCAGACAAAAGGTCCTTACAGCCCGGGCTAACAGGGTATGCTGCAACACCAGGCCCCATCTGTCCCTAAGCACATTGCTGCTTCTCTCCCTCAAATGGCACCTTCCTGTAGCAAAGATATCCAAGGCCAGAAAATGACCTTCTGGATGCTTCTGATCCCACCAAACAGGCTGGGGCTGCAGCACACACTGCTCCCTGGCATAGTTAGTGCAGACTGGAGACCCCATGACTGGCTTGGGGTTGTTCAGCTTGCCTGGCATGACACTGCATGAACACCTGTGTTAAAATGCAGCTGGTCTGCATACACTTTCACAAAAGCCTGCACTAACCCATGGAGGCCCCCCACAGGAGGGAAATGCTGACCCTCACCTGGCTTCAAAGGAGAAAAAAAAAAAAGAAAAGAAGAAAAAAACACTCTTTCCAATAAAGAGGGTGGGCCCCTATTCCTCAGGGCACTGAGAGGTCCACTGAGCTACTTTTGCAACCAGCAGTTCGCCCCAGATTTACTCAGGGTGCCCCCTCTCCCCCCAGGCGATTACACCTTTCTCCTTAACTAGCTATTACAAAAGCAAGTTTGGACACCGAGTCCCAGCCTGCCCCAGGCTGCTGCTGTGAATGCGCCTGGCAGGGTCAGAGAGCAGACAGCCAAAGGTCCAGTGTCACTCCGGGTGGAGCCTGCCCGAGGCTTCCCAGGGGAGAGGAGAGGGATTTCCCCAGGCCAGCTCTGAATTAATTTAGGATGTGGCCTGTACTCCTACGGTTAGGAAACTCTCCCAAGGGCAGAGGGAGAGGCGTGGGCTGCAGGGAGCAAGCGCAAGTCTCCAGGTTCCATGTGTGGAGAGCACTTTCCCCACGCCCCAGCCCTGTGCCCTTGCTGCAGGGATGCCCTCCACAGCAGCCAGCCTGGTGCCCCGTGCCACCCTGCAGGTGTCTCACCTGGGAGAAGTTCAGCCCATTCAGCGGGTGGCACTGCTCCTCCACTTTCTCCACAGCACCCGTTTGCTTCCTCAGCCGCTCCGCTTCCTGGGCCAGGTACAGATCCAGGACGGGAACACCTCGCGACTTGATGTCTACCTCCGTCAGAGAGTTTACCATCAGCATCACCCACACCGGCCTCTTCCGCTCCCAGTTGCCAGCGATGGCGTTGAAGAGGTAGTCAGCGTACAGCCCTTTGCCCCGCTGGTCTGGGGTCATCCAGGACGGCATCATGAGCTTGACGTACTCCAGGTGCCGCTTGAGCCGGCGGTAGATGTCCCGGGGCAGCACGTCCTGCAGGTTCTCCCCCTGCGGCAGGAGCTGGCAGCTGGTGAGGGCAGAGATGGTGTAGGGGTCGGTGAGGTCCAGCTCGAAGTACACGATGTGGCTCTGCTGGAAGGCCTTCTTGGAGTTCTCTGGGATGAAATCCCAGACACGGGTGTACGGGACGTGGATGGTGCCAAAGAAGTAAGATGGGGGATCTCTCTTGATGGTCCACAGGAAGGAGTTCAGCTCGCTCTGCCGGGGTACAGGGAGACACAGCTGAGTACAGACAGACATTCATGCCAGGCCCCTGGCATAAAAGGCTCAAGGGAGACACAGTGCCAAACCTGGCTCTACAGCTTGTTAGCATGTACTTTCCCTGAAGAGGCTTTGCTCATACAAACAGAGTCCTTTTGACTACCCTTCTCAGGCCTTGAGACCTAAAATCAATTTTCATTAATTAAAAGCATAAAAAGCATGGCGTCAGCTTTTTCCTTCTGAAAAGCAGCATCACGGTTGCTCAACAGAAACAGCATCCCAACTCACCACCCCAGTGTATGCCAAAACTAGCAAGAGGGAACAGCCCAAGCAGGCCATGCTCTTGGCAAGACGCTTATCCAGCTTGCACCTTTTATCAAGTCAAAAGCTGCCATCACTTTGCTGAAGCAGAGCAGGACATCAAGGTTTCAGTCACCTTCACCTAGGCACCTCTCACTTCAGCACAGCAAGGCTTCCCTCAAAGAAGCTGCTGTGACACCCGCTCAGAGGGTGCCGCAGCATCTCGGGAGAGCTTTCCACTCTGAACAAGGCTCTAAACAAATCAGTAACACAAGATACAATTTGGCTGACAGTCTTGCTGGAGCAGGTAGCAATACAGTTTTACAAGCATGTGGCACATGGCAGATAAACACAAAGATAAGACCCGTTGGCCCAATTCTCCTTCTTGTTAAGGAAGAGAGAAGCATATGTAATAGCTTGGAAAATAATGGAAGGAACTCCACAGGCCAAATCTAGCCTGTGGTTCCAGGGCATATGCTTTAAAAACAGGGGACAAAAAAAAGCTTATTTCTTTAGATGTCTTTTTTTTTTTTTTTTTCAAAAAAGCGTCTCAAAACCCTCATGAAGTCAAAATCAGATGCTGTTTGTTCTGTTGTGAAATATGCCTCACACCATCCTCAAGAACACCAGTGTGGTGCAGGCTTAGGCCCTAAGCAGTCCCCCAGGAAAGGAGAGCAGATGGGACAAAACAGATCCTGCTCGGATCCTGCAAGTCGCATTACACCAGCAGCAGGCACAACACACATCACTGGTGTCAAGAGTCCCTGCTAGAGTGATGGACACAGTTTCTATCTCTCTGCGCAGACGGGAGCCTTAGCTCGTTTAAGGAAGAGGACAGGCTTCCAGATGCACTCAAACATCTGGTCAGTCTTTAGCCAGCAGATAACTCTAACCTCAGCTCCAAGGCTAACTCTGCGTGTGTGCTGATCTAAGATACCTGCCTGACTGCCAAAAGCAGAACAGGCTGCTTGGAAGAATTTATTAGAAACACATTGCTTATAAATTTCTGCTGAAGAACCAGGGTCAGAAAGGTTAATCTTAAAGATCGGTCTGCAATGGTTCATCCTGGACAACCCTGTCCCAGAGCTCTCCACACTGAGCGCAAGCCACAGATCAGGCAGAAATTGAGCGAAGTGAGCAGTGTAGATCACCAGCACAGACCGACAAACCAAGTAAATACCAGAGGTCTTCAGACACTTCTATGGCACTTCAAAGGTCTGAAGGATATCTCAGAGACCCAAGTTTTGGTAATGCTGTGCTACATCTTTGCATCCTATCAGATGGTCCTGAAACACTCTTCTAAATTGCAGGCCATAAAAACATTCCTGAAGACCATGGGAGGAAGAGAATGAACATAATGCAGCAGTGAGAGGGAAGGAAGATACAGGACAAAAGACTAGTCTGAATCCGACATAGGCTGAGAAAGAACATGAGAAAACAAATATAGACAGGACAGCGAGAAGGAAAACGAGACTGGGTTCCCTCTTGCCCTTAGCCAGCAGGGAAAATGTAAAGACACACCTTTGTTGTGAGAAACAAACTGGATGCAGACAGCAGCCAGCAAGCAAAAAGACAGAAGAGGCACCTGGGACCAGTATGAGGTTAGGAGGTCAACACTCCTTCACTTCACGCAGGTCTGATCATGTACATGCAGGAGCAGGCATAACCACAGGAATTGTAAGGAACAAGTGGTCACCGGCCCTCTTGCATTCTCAGCTCAGCTCCTGAATAAAGCTACCCAGCAGACTCAAGCCCAAGTGGATGGTACCAGGCAGTGACAGCACTGCTCCAGACCACTGTACACAGCCCAGCTAGAAAGGTGTTTGGCACTGCACCCTCATGCTTTTTTTGCTCTGTAAATTCCCACACCTTTTGCATTCTGATACCAAAAGCAGAGTAATACTGCTAGCTATCAGTGGTACCACTGTCAGACCACACAGACCACCATGCACAGAGCAAACCAGTCACACTTCAGAGCCTACAGCACAGGTAGTGAAAGAAAGCAGGCTGAGACCCGGCAGAACTTCTCACTCATCTTGTAGTGACTGTGAGCTTGCACAACAGTGTCTTGGCACTTTGCAGGAACTTCCACACCAACAGCTGCAGCCTGTCCCAAAAGCAATGGAAATCTCTCTTCTCAGACTGCCCAGGGTCTCACACATTGCCCAGAGCTGGTGCGAGGGCCAGAGGACAGGTCTGTTTCCAACCTGGGAAACCTCCCCTGTCCCAGTGCACCTCCCAGAGCTCACACGTGTTTCACTCCAGCTTCAGAGAGGGAAAGGCATGGGCATAATCTCTCCCCAAGACCGTAAAAGGGGAGCTGTTAAACAATGCGCTAGGTGACTGTGAGATAGCACAGGAGTAGTGCCAAGGCTTGCTCAGCACCGCAGCATGTGCCCTGACTGGCAGCCCCTCTCTCTCACCTCATTTCCCTAGGAACGTGCAGCAGATAAAGGTGCTACAACCCTATTTGCCTTTGTAGCAGGATCCTTCTACATAGCTCTTACCTCAGCAAAGGGGTGCTTTAAAACCAGCATATACTGCTGTGAAAGTGGTGTCCTGGAGGCTGAAGGGAGAGTTGGCTTGGGCGGCTCCAGGAATTTCACTTTCAGTAGTGTACTAACAAAAAAGACAGGTTCACATATATGCCATGCATATTTCTGTCTCTGCTCCCCAGTTTACAGGTGGTACACATTGCACGACACATTCTAGCAACAATATGGATCAAGGGAAGAACTGGAGGGACAGCAAAAGGAAGAGAGTGGCAGTCTTGAATGAGGTCTCTCATTTTGCTGTTGCAACAAGATTTGAAGTCACACTGCACAACACATAGCACACATCCTCTGCCATAGTGTATCTCCTCTGCTTAACGGACTGCTAAGGAGTCCTACATCAAGTTATTTCTGGCTGCTCAGTATGATGGCATAGTGCCTTCTCCTACCTCATCTCCCCAGGAAAACAAGAGTTTACTGTGAACTGGTTAGGGATCCAGCAGAGCCACAAATTGCTTGGAACAAAAACAAAACAAAACAAAAAACAAATGAGGAAGAAAAAGGCTTTTCTTCAGCCAGTTCAGCTTCTTAAGATTGACAGCACATGAAGCACTATGAAGTGGCAGTGGAATGAGGGAGAAGGAAAAGAAGCTGCTTCAGATAATGCTGTCAAAGGGACGCATGGACCTATGGGACCCACCCCCTGCCATGAGGTGGCAGCGAGCTCTTTTCCTCACCTCACCTCCCCAGAGCTGCACTATCACTCACTCAAAGAACGGATGGGGGCATGTACGGATAGATAACGCTTCCTCACAATGAGAGGACAACAGCATCAGGCTTTGCAGAAACCCTAGAAAAATGTGGTGTACATCATGGGTTTGTTCCCCTGCAGCTGAAGGAGGATCAATGAAAGACCAAGAAAGCTTCAAGGATGGGAGAGTACAGTGACATACTGTGGAGTGGTAGCTCAGCCCACAGCATGGTAGTTCCTATCCCAACACCTCTCCCAAATCAGGAAACTGATTGTCCATAGGTGGCCTTGGAAACTCGTGTGATGCCTTGCTTTCCTTTCATCTGTTTCAGCAGAGCGGAGGCTGTGACTGAGAGGTATTTTCTTTATCTTTCCAGAATGTTTCTTTTTTTCAGATTTCAGAAAAAAAGCACCAAGACTCAGATTCAGTTCACTATAATTACTCCTAGTAGCTTGCTTTTCCAGCAGCATTTCTAGGACTGCCAGGGAAAGTAACCTGTGGACTTCAGGTACACAAATTCTACTGCATTTGTCAGACAGCACAAATCATTTCAGGTAACACAGCAGTAATTCTGCTGAAAGAGTAGTGCCAAACAAGAACTGTCTTCTTTATTATGAGAAGCTAGCTCAAAGTGGGCCAAATGATGTACTGACCATAAAATAGTAGTAAACATCCAGAAAATAATTTTATGAAAAACAGGAGAAACAAAAAATGCATCTAGTGACAGTACCCTGAACATCTAGAAAAGGAGCAACAGAGTGATGAGAATTAATAATAATACTAATGAAAAGTTGCAAGAGGAAAAGGGTGTGAGGATACCAGGAGTGAAGGCTCTGACGGGAAGGACAGCTGCTGTCCAAAGAGTTAGGAAGTGGATATGAACTCCAGGCACAGGAAACCTGGCCAAGGTCTGCCTACATGACTGAGCAAGGCACATCACTTATGCTGGCTTCTATCTTCTGTCTCGAATTTATGTTGACTGTAATTTTTTCAGCTCAAAGCACATCACACGCTGTGTAGATAGGTGCCTTCTTCTGCTTCAGTGTCTTTCAGGACCCTGAATGCTCATACTCAGCTCCACTGCCAAGTCTTCCACACATAAGCCCAAGATTGCCCTGTTTCTCAATCCACAATATGCTCTTAATTTTATGTTTTTTCTTGCTACAGAAGCCAGAGCATGTGGCATGCAGTATTTCAGCCAGGCAGAGAGCCCTATAGCCCTCCCTATATGGCTCTCTCCCTTCTTATCTGTCCTGGTGTCGTATCTTGTCATGTTCATTTATACCTAACTGAGGCAAAGACCGTGTCACATAAAGTGCCCCATGCAGCTACAGCAATGCATGCAGAAATGCTAGGCTCGCTTTTAACAGTTGTTCTCTTGAGCTCTTGCCCATTCACATTACTGACACTCTAAAACTCAGCTGAGACTGTAAGCAGAACTCACCCATGGATAAACACTGCGCTGACTACAGCTATTCAGAGAACACAAATTCAGCCTCCACTTGCCAGAAATGAATAATAAAACACAAGTTTTTAACTAATAAGTTGAGGACTGACAGCAGACATCACTTACTCAACTAAAGTAAATATATGGGGGAGAAGCAGCCATTTAAATTAACTGGCCCCTTATCAGAAACAACGCATCATAAAATATTAACCAGCTACAACCACAAGCATTCTGCTGTAAATCTCTGGATTCTGGCTCTAAACTTACCAATACACTCCAACACTAAGCTAAAAGAAAGTACCACCAGACTGCATTACTTCTGGAATATAACTGGAATATACTCCAAGCAATTCCAACATACTTTATTTTCAGTTGTTTTCAAAGTCTTTTTTTTTTTTTTCTGTGAAAGAAAGAATGATGGGGCTCATTATAGATTGCAGCTTTAATTATAATATGGAATGATGATGAAAAGGCCTCTAAAGAATTGTATGCTCACTCTTTAAAATAGCAATTTGTCTCTTTCAGACACTGATGCACATATTTCTTTCACAATAGGAGCTTTAGGTGACTGACAACAAGAAGGCATCCCTGTAATCTACAGAGGTAAGAAAATGCACAGAAGTTCCTATCAAGAATTTGGATAAAAACAAGAAAAAAAAAATAAAACAGAAAAAAAAAAGCCTTCCTTCATAATGCAGGGGCAAAGAAGAACATTTTGTTTTCAGGGGTGGTATAAACACTTCTAAGGACGTGTTCAACACCTTTGCAGATAAGGCAGATGCTGTCATTCCTAGGTGACATGGTTACCACCGCTCTCCTAATGACCCCAGGAAACAGCCTGCCAATACCAGAACTACAGGTGGCCTCGCATTTTAATGGCAGAATAACCAGCAGGTAATGAGGTGCCATTAACATATTTCACCTCCAGTTTTGCCAGTAACCAACACAGGGCCCACCACTGGCTCCTAAGGGAAACCCCCTGCATTGTCCTACCAAATTAATGAATGAGCCATGTCTGTAACAACAACTTTTTCTGCACAGTTTCTCCCTTTCTTTTCCTGTTCCCTCAGGCAGAGTCACACTAGCCCAAGCTGTTAAACTTCATGCCCTGAAGAGGAAGGGGGCACCTGCTCCAGAGGTTTGATCTGGGCCATGACTGTCACAGCTGGCCACCTACAAAACCAGTTGACAGAGTGGTTCCAGGCACAAACAAGGTGCCAAGGCATCCTCCCCAAGGCAGGAGTCAGGCTCTACCCAACCCAAGTTCAGGCAGATGCTGCTGGTGAGGCACACGCAGATTGATAAACAGTTGAGTCACTGTGCCCTGACTCTTGGGTCACCAGAGTTACTTCTTGTTCCCTGTGCCGGTGCAGGTCACCCTGCCCGGGGAGGAGAACAGAAGTGATGAAATAACACATCCCTCACCGCCGGTCAGGCTGCTTCCAGGTCCAAGCAGATGCCACCAGAGAGCACGGATGTTGTGTCAACTCTTAACAGACGCATTAAGGCAAAATGAGTCCAGGAACACTTCCTACATGATTTCATGTGCTGTCAGTTCAGAAACTTCAGTGAAAAGTTATAAATCTATGAAAACTGTTTGTTTTTTTTTTTTGCCCTCTCTGCCTGACTTTCAGTGGAAATGCCACCCTACCCCCAGGACTCACACTGGCCAGAGCATCACTGCTAACTAGCAGCACAGAGCCCTCGGCTCTGCTTTCTGTCCACCTGGGCTGGTTACAACAGTCAGGTTCATCAAATGTGAGCACAAACAAAACCCAACACAGCTTCTAATTGCATTTCTGTTTAAAGGCCACTGTCACTCGCTGCTCTGAACCTGCTCCATCGTGCCCAGGGTAAAGCACTCAGCCAACAGGCTGCCCTGAGGAGGAAACTGGCAACAAATCACGCAAAAAAAAAAAAAAAAAAAAAGTCCAGCTCGGGCTCCTCCCGGGATCTCCCTCTCTCCCACCGAGCCGGGGAGGCTCCCCACGGGCGGAAAGCGAAGCAGGGGGGCGCAGATTCAGGTGCAAAGGCAGCGCCGCGCCCCTCTCCATCACTCCGCTCCCCGCAGCCCCGCGGCACCCCGACCCCCGGCGCCCCCTCGCCCGCAGCCCCGGCGGCTCCGCGCCCCCCCGCGCCCCCCCGGGGCTCCTCGGGGCCGGTCCCCCCCCGGTTACCTTTCCGCCGAGCGGGCAGGCGCCGCGGCTCTGCCGCGCTCTGGCCAGCAGGAGGAGGGAGCTGTGCAGCAAGCAGACCCAGCCGGGGTGCACCATCCTTGCTCGCTCGGAGTTGGCACAGTTTTGGGGACAGCTTTCCTTTCCCTTCCTTTTTTTTTTTTTTTTTTTTCTCCCCTTTTCGCCTGCTTCCACTTTATTTTTTTTAATTCCCTTTCTGTTTCTTTTTTTTTTTTATGTTATTTTATTTTCTCTTTTTATTTTCTTTTTTTTCTTTCTTTTTTTTTTTTTTTTTCCCTTCCTTTTGCCCGGGCGACCCAATCCCGCAGCCCTCGCAGGAGCGGCCCCGTCCCCTGGCCAAACCCTCCAGCCGCTGCCCCCTCCTCTTAAAGGGTCCCGTTCCGGGCGGGCGGGGGGGGGAGGAAGGGGAGGGCGCGGGGCCCGCCGCACCGGGGGCGGGCGATGGGGCTGCGGTGCCGGGGGGGGCTCCCTTACCCCCGCTCCCCGCCGCCCGCATCGCGGAGAGACCCCGCTCCCGCCCCGGACCGGCCCCGGGGGGCTGCGGTGGCTGCGCCCCCCGTCCCGTCCCGTCCTGTCCCGCCCCGGCCCCTGCCCTGCTCCTGCCTGCCCCCTGCCCTGCCCGCCTGCCTGCATTTCCCCCAAAGACAAGACACTCCTGGGTGTTGGGGTTCTTCCCCCAAAGCCCCCCTTCGCTGTCCGCCCGGCTTCAGGTTGACCCTGGCATTGCTTCCGACTCGTTTTCTCGCCTCGGGGTGCCTGTGCCATCGTCTGATTAGGGTTATCCAGCAAAACTGTGCCCGGTGTGCTTTGCACAAACGGTGTGGTCTATTAGCGATAAAAAAAATGCACCGAAATGCACTACCTGTAAAGTTTGCCCACACTGATGGGCATATCGCCATCTCTACTTGTTCTCCCATAATTTCTAAGACTGGTGTTTAAAACCCTGCTATTAATCCGAGTCTTAAAAATAATGACTGAATCTGGAATCTGCCAGCTTTGTGTGTGTGTGTATGTGTCAGGTGTGAATAATAGTGAGCTTTCACACCTCTCAAAATATTTATGGTAGGATCTTCCTGGCAATTTTAATATAGCACTTATAATTCACATTTAGCGAAACTGTTACCACTTCCAGGGCTTATCGCAAGTAGACCTGTAAAGTTAGAAAACTGCCCACCAAGGTGTACGGAGTTATTGTATATAGTACAGTGCTTCCCTCCTGCACCACCCCCACTTGTTTTAATTAAATGCCATGCACAAAGCAGTGAGCAAACTGCTGACTAATTGTTTCATGCTATTTGCAGACTCAGGAAGTCATTGTTTCTTTAGCTTTATCCTATTCCTACTTTCAAGCTCATCCTTTTCAATCCCAGAGATCTGAATCTCTGTCCCTAGGGTTAAATCCTGGTTCAGAATCAATGGCAAACTTCCCACCAACTCAAAGAGAGTGAAGATGCCCGTTTTTACTTTTGCTTGACAGCCCGGTTTTGCAGTACAAAGCAAATTCCTCCCGAAGAAGGTAGCAAGAGCCAAAATCCCTCATTGTTTTGCCTTTTATGTGCATTACTGTATTTCTGCCTTTGATGAGGAGAATGATACTGATAATATATTAAATGCATCTTCTTTCATTAGGTCATGCTAGCCATTTAGAACAAAAAACATTATCTGGCAAAGAATATTGCATTTATGCAATATATGATGGTTGTAATCCATAAATCCATACCTATTTTATTTTTTTTTGACAGGGATGGAGAATACTGTGCCATTTGCCAGCCCTGCAGAAAAATCTGTACCTATCGGAGCAAGAATTGAGTTTGTGACATCTTTTGTCATCATCTTCTCAGATTTGATCAATGGGGGTTCAAACAATGAGTTTGCCCGGCAGACAGGTAGCCTTTCCAAACAACTCCAACTCTCAGCAGACAGGTGTAAAACACAGCAACAAAATGTTTTTGCCCTGGAATGCAATAAACCAGACCCATGTTTAGTTGTATGTATTTCTGGGCATGGAAGCTAGATAGCATTTATTCTTAAAGTGCCCAGATCAAGTTGCAAAGAATAAGAATAAATCTTCCATGGCACAGAGATGTGCTGCCAAGCTGATTAGGTACCTTCTGTCTGGCTATTTTTAGTTTCTTTCAGATCTAAAGTGGAAAATAGTAGCAACACTTTCTGAAACACACGGCTCGCAGGCATACAGACAATGCAGATTAAGATGCTGGTTGGCTGTATTTTCAAATTGGTGGGAAATGCATTCTTTGTGGTGAATTGCTGATGGAAAATAGCAAAAGAGGAAGGACAAAGGGAATGTTTCATAAAGACTTTCAAAGTAATTTATACTTTCACTGAAATATTTCAGTAGAAAACCACATCCTAGACCTATTAACAGAGACCTAAGAGATAAAAACTGCATTTTTATTTAATGAAGTTCTGTTTGTAGAGTTGCTGGGTTTGTTCCCATCCCTTGCAAAATGATTTCAACAGAAGTTCAGCATGTGATTCATGTTAAGAGCATGCTTCTGTACTTTGCACAGAAAAGGCAAACTGAAGCATATCCTTCATGCTTTCCTGGATCAGGGCCTTAAGGTCACGGAGGGCTCACAACCTGAGTTGTCTGGTTGGCAGTACCACCAAGGTAACCGTGGGGACAGGCTCTGTGACCCCCTCTCTTACAATGGTGTGCTGGTTCAAGCAGCCGCCGTGCACAGGCAGTTGCTCATACTGGCGTTGCAGCCCTTGGCTGCAGCACACCTGAGGCCGAGCAGTGGACTGGACTGTACACAAAATTAGCTACTTTTTGTCTGTTTGGGGAGACAGATGATGTTTAATCTGAATCAGTTTCCCAAGCCATAGGAGCAGTTACATGGAGATGGCCAACAGGGTGTCAGAGGAGGGAGACTCCTGGAGTGGGTGTTCCTGCCAGCACATCTTCAGCGTACAACCCAGAGCTCTCACATCCATCTGTGCATGCAGCACAGCCTGCGTACAGTATGACCACTTCTGAGAGACCTCTAGAGCTTGTTCATGTGCCTTTGCTACCTAGTATTAACTAGCAATGTGAAACAAAGCCACCTCGTACAGCCAAACACAGTTACAGCTTTGTACTAGCTTCTTTCGTTAGTGAAAGAAGCTAGTACAAAGGAAATTTGCACAGATTTTTTGGGGGGCAGAATATATTCAATTCTGTTAACAGGCAGTTCAGCTGATTCACCCACTATCAAACACAATTAGACTATCTTTTCAATTCAACACACATTTTAAATATCATGAGAGATAACACGAGGATTTCTCACCACTTAAAATTATGAAACAGATATCATAAAGCAGATGAGAAAGAAGGCAAAGGAGCTTTCTTCATTGAGTTGAGAAAAAGTACTCTACTTTATCTGCATTTGAAAGGAAGTTTGCTTAGAAGGATTGATGTGGACTTCAGAGATTCAGAAACACAGAGCCCCAATTATGCCTCAAGATAAAAAGGGTTAGTGAACTTTGTAGTATGTTACTGTATGAAAGTGTTAGGTCAGCTGGAAGGGAAATATGGGGAATATATTACAAAGTGAAGTGGTTACATGTAATTATCAAGCATAGTCAGCCAGAAGCCAAAAATAAAGAGTAAAGAGTGGAATTCTGTTCTCTAAACACATCTTAATAATAGCAATCTCAATTTGAATGGAGAGAGAAAGCTAAACAAAAATAAATCTCTAGGGCACTGAAAGGAGGCAAAGAGAAACTACATGACCAGAACAGGAGGCTCTGAATTGCACTAGGCCCCAGCACTTCAGAAATAAAGCAGAGGATCATTTGAAGCCAGTCTGGAAAGAGTTAAAGGGCAGCTTACAAACCCATTTCTCTCATAAAATGAGGGAATAAAGTGAACTGTTCAGAAGGTGTTAACAAAATAGCATACACGGAGTGAATTATTCAGATATTAACTCATGATTTTAGGAGGAAAAAATACAGGTGACTGTCTAAATAAATATTGATGCATTATTTTACGAAATGCAGTAAATAAGGACCCCACATCTTATGCAGATAGAAAGTATTATGTATATGGAGCATCTTAAATGGATGAGCAGTTCACATAGTCATAATACTGCAGCTGAGGAAGCAGAAACAGAGTACAGCTCCATGGTAAAGCTCAAGCGGTCTGAGTGAATTTAACTGATTTTCTCCAACAGAAGGCATGCCTGTCCCATCCTGGTCAGTCCATGGCTTAGCCTCTCACCCACTCCTCTGCATTCAGCGTGGCTGTATCATTACATCACACCTTGGACAGTGAGCGAGGTGCCAAATCTGGCTCTGCAGTGTTGGAGGGGAAACACAGGTTTCCAAAGGGTAATTTGGCTCTTCCTCTGAGAACCACAGCACCACCACTAGCCCATGCACAGCCCTCAGCTTTGCTGGCTGAAAAACAGCTGCTGCGGCAATGGAAAGGGGCGGGGGGGTGCAGCAGTCCCTCTTCTCATCCCACTTCCTTCTCAAGCCCTTCTCTGGGCTAGAAGGAAAGATGCAGGAACAGTCAGTCTTGGAAACACCAGGTGGATCCTGGTGCTGTGTACATAGGCATCGGTCCAGGAAGCAGTTGGGAAGTCTGATCCCCCCAGGAGGGATGCACAATGTGTAAAACCTTCTGTTTACAGTGGTAGATGTCTGATGTCTTCCAGGGAATATCGGGAGAATTTGCCTGTGGTATAACTGAAGAAAATCTGAAATGGGTAGAGATGTGTTGAATTCAGCTTATCCACTACAGTAGTGTGATTTCTTCCAGGACATCTTTGGGAAGGGAGGGGGAGGGGGATAGAAGAGGAAAAAAAAATAAGCTGTGCTGATTTTTTTTTTTTAGCTGTAATTTTTTTGCAGCTGTAATTAAAGACTTCTGCAAAGAGGGAAGGAATTTTCTGAGTGAAAACACTTATTTTGTCCTAGTTTTCTAATTGGCTCTGAAAAACGTTAGCAAAGCTGTCAGGTTGAAGACACCATGTAGGCAATGCTGTAACTTGTTATAAAATGTAATCTTAGCATTGCGTAAGGTGGATTTATTTATTTATTTATTTATTTATTGTACAAACCGACAAATATGTGGTGAACATCTCCCTGCAGTTACTAAGGCAGAAACAGACTCACAGGGGGCATGATGGAAGTGAAGCTACAGGATACCAGCTTTAGTGAGGCTGGGATTTTTCTTGCAGTGGTGGTCATCTGTCAGCTCAGGCAATTTGTAGCATCAGAGAGTTCCCCTGTATGTGCAAAAACACATCTGACTTCTGAGAAGTACCTGAATGCATCCTCCTCGTGGCCATTGATTTGCACGGCAGTAAGCCACCGATGATCCTCCCGGTTTAATTGCTATACACACCTGCCCAGAAGATGACTGTCCCTGCTTCAGGACACTTAGAGCTCAGATGACGCAAAGATTTACATAGACAGCTTGCTTCACATACTGCAAAA